ATGGCAGATCTTAACTTTGATGTTTTAAAAGCTCAGGCTGAGGAACTAGGCCTTAAAGGAAATGATATTGCTCAGTATGTCATCAGTCAACAGACACTTGCACGGGAGGAGAGAGCAAAAGAAAGAGAATTTCAGAAAGAGCAATTAGAGGCAGAGAAAGAGAGAGTTAAACTGGAACATGAGCTTCAGATGGCTCGGTTAAACAATTCTGATAGTTCATAAATCCTGTACTTTTTGATGGCGCTTCACGCCCTAGTTTACCAGTTTTTAAAGATGGAGAAGACATCACTTCATACTTAATTAGATTTGAGCGCATTGCTAACTTGTTAAATTTTAAAGAAGAAACTTATGCTATCAGATTGGGAAGTTTGTTAACAGGAAAGGCTGTTGATATATACACCTCACTGCCTCCAGAAACAACAGCCGATTACCAGTTATTAAAGAAAGCTCTCTTAAGGGGTTATAGTAAAACTCCCGCCAGTTACAGGAATGATTTTAGGATTGCTAAAATAAAAAGTGGTGAAACATATGAACAGTTTGCTATCAGGCTTGGACGATTGTTTGATTATTGGGTCGATTCGCATAATATCACCAAAGATTATGCATCTCTTCGTGATTTTATGTTGTTAGATCAACTAATGTCTTCTATCTCCCCAGATCTGCGTGTTTTTGTAAAGGAGCATAACGTCTCCTCCTTAGCTGATGCGGTAAGCCTGTCAGATAATTGGTCATCTGCTCATAGTGCTTACCCCAGGTCATATCAATCATCTGAACAAGGTAAGAGAAGTGTGGCTCCAAAGCCCCAAACTCCAGTCCAATCAGCTCTTAGAAGGGATTTTTCTTCTGTTAAATGTCATGGGTGTGGTGATATTGGACATATTAGATCTCGCTGTCCTAAAAATCCCCTAGCGTACAAGCAATATCACCCAATTCCAACTCACAAAGTCGGATTTTGTCTAAGTGACAGGGAAAATTCAAAGTTCATGACAGCTGGTACAGTGAATGGGGCTTGGGTATCCACAGTTCTCAGAGATACGGGGTGCACATGTGTTATTGTATCTCACAAGGTGTTACCAGATGTTGATCTCTCTAGGGCTGATCTGGTGGGGATCGAAGATTATTTAGGCCGGGTGGATTACTTCCCCAAAACTAAATGCTACCTGAATTGTCCCTATTTTAAAGGTTGGATTGATGTGGTGCGAGCACCAATTAAATTCTGTAGCGTCCTGATTGGAAATGTACCAGGGGTATATAGTCCCAAATTATCTCCAGATTCTGAAGTAACTGAACGTTCAAATGTCCCTCTTGATTATTCCTGTGCCATTCAGACTAGATCCTCCAAAGTAAAAAGGGTTCACCCTTTAGTGTTGCCGGAGATCGAGCCTCTTAAAGTAACTCCTGAAGACTTTGCAAAATTGCAGGCAGAATGTCATTCTCTCACTAAATTTTGGGAAAAAGTAAAGTCTAAAGAACATGATAAGATGCGTGATGGTACGGTGTTTAAGTTTGAGCAAATAAATGGTTTGCTGTACCGTACATGTGTTGCTTCAAAGCACTGTGAAAGAGTTGGTAAATCTTCTCTGGTAGTACCCAGTAAATGTAGAGCCATCATTCTCGCAGTAGGTCATGAGAGCCCCTTAGCCGGTCATTTCTCCCATCGGAAATCAGAAATGCGTATTAGGGACCATTTCTATTGGCCAAACATGGGAGCTGAAATCAGAGACTTTTGTAAGTCTTGCGACAAGTGTCAAAGGATGTCAAGTAGAGGTAGGGTAAGACCAGTGCCATTAAAACCCATGCCCATTTTAACGGAGCCTTTCTCTCGTGTCTCCATAGACTTGGTAGGACCGATTTCTCCTCCATCTTCTGAGGGTCACCGTTATATTTTAACTTTGATAGATTTTGCGACTGGGTTTCCAGAAGCATTGCCTCTCAAAGAGATAGATTCAATATCTGTAGCTGAAGCCCTTATGGTGATCTTTTCAAGGGTCGGTATTCCTCGGGAAATTTTGTCTGATCGAGGAAGGCAATTTGTTTCTCAACTAATGGGCGAACTGCATAAATTATTGGGTGTAAAGCCACTTTTTACAACTCCCTATCATCCTAGTGGGGTGGAAAGGTTTCATGCAACACTAAAAGCCTCCTTAAGGAAATTGTGTAGTGACAAACCACGAGAATGGCACCGTTATCTTGTCCCCACATTATTCGCTATGCGAGAGATTCCTAGCGATCGAACTGGGTTTTCTGCTTTTGAGCTACTTTATGGACGGACAGTCCGGGGACCTCTTTCAGTCTTAAGGGACTTGTGGGAAGACACAACCATGAGAGATGATGTTAGATCTTCCTTTCAATATGTGATTGAATTGAAAGACAAGCTGGAGGAGTGTGCTAAAATTGCAGCTCAAAATGCTGAGATTAGTTCCTCTAAATTCAAATCTTATTTTGACTTGAAATCTCAGGATAGGAAGTTTAGTCCAGGTGAGGAAGTTCTTGTCTCCTC